GCCTATCATATGACAAAGTGACTGTTCCAAACTAAATGGTTTTTTATCGGAAATCAGCCAATGGTCCAAGGAAAACGGTCTAACTTTAAACCCCTCCAAATGCCAAACAGTTAATTTCACCTTTAGGCACAAATCTGACCTAAACAAAGTGGTTAGCAATCACGAGGTGTGCAACAGAGATGGCACTGAAATAGAAACCAAGTCAGAAATTAAATACCTAGGCGTCATTCTATCTGCTGATCTTTCCTTGTCGTCTCATATCTTGATGACTTCTAAGAAAATATTCCGTCTTACCTTCTACATCAAGAAATTAAGACATTCCTACGATTCGTTAAGTCTTGCACCCTGCCTATTATTTTCTATTGCTCCCCCCTTAGTTTTTCTAGGGCTACTGAAGAAAGACTATACCTTATTACGCAGGATGTTAAAGGTTGTCAGCGGGATAAGCTACGTGCCACTTAACCAGCTTGTTAATATTCTGGTTGACAGGCACATGGACTCATGTGAAAAATGGGCTAAATCCATTCTATCTAACCCACACCACCCTCTATATTCACAACTCTAACCCCCCCCCTTGTATCTCATCAGGTAAAACCAGAAGACTATATAGAATACTATATGCCCGCACTAGTAAGTACAAAAACTCAACTATACCCTACTTAGCTCGTGTTCCGTGCGATAAAGAAAGCATTAGGCGTGATACCCATTGCTAACTTATTAAATAGTCGGTAGAACAACTGGATCTCGTCTTTCCAACTGATATCATTTATAGGTGCAACGTTTTCTTTCTTTCTTTCCCTTTTCTCTTTTTTCTGTTGATGCATCTTCCCAAATAACAGGTGAAGTGGTCAACGTGCTCGACCACTTCACTCCTTATTTCTAAGCTAGGAGTCAATCTATTCCAGTCCTGTAGCATCATCTCTCATTTGACAGAGGGAGCGAATCGCATGCCAAACATTCGTAGATTGCAGCTCAAGGTGTTCAGAAGACTCTGCATTTTGTCGACGTCTTCACCTTTAAAAACTATAACATTTGCATATTCTAAGTCAGCGAGATTATTCCCTGGTAACAAGTCAATCCCTGAGTCGCTGAAGTGAGCTAGGGTTAAGTCCATTAGTACATCTATGGTGAAATTGAATATATATGGGGACAGTGGCGATCCCTGTCAGACACCACTAGTTGTCACCTGGGTGCATGAGTTCAAGTAGATTACCTTGATCAGTGCAATGTATTTTCTCAGCATTTCTTTCACACCCAAACATCGCCATAGTACCTTTCAGTCGACAGAATCGAAATCCGCCTTTAGGTTAAGAAATATAACGATTGTTGGACGCCACCAGTGAGTATGTCTTTGTTCCAGAAACTGTCGAAGGGTGAAGATATGATCAATACACCCTCTCCCAGGTCTAAAGGCTGCCTAGTTCTCCCGTGTTTGTGCCTCCTGAGGACCACTTAGTCTACGCATTATTATTGAGTCTAGAACATTAGATACCATATTAGTCAAGCTAGTCCCCCTGTGATTATCACAGGAAGACTTTGCGACTCTAACTACTACTGAATATACCAATCATCAATTTCCATGTTTTTGTACGTCGTTATAGCCACGTTGTGCTAAATATTTCTATATCTTGCTCTAATCTTAAACTATTAATTCTGTATGACATCTGCTGTGATTCTGATCTTTTTCACTGCCTAAGATTTTATAGTTTAAGTTTACCGGATCAGATTATTTGTGGACTGACGACAGTGCCTTTTGCAATCAAGCAATAACTCAATTCAGTAGATGTAGAATTTTCAATAAATAATAATAACTGATGTTATTCGATTAATGGTATCTAGTATTTGGATTCAGGATTCGTGTTTCGTCCTACTTGAGACTCGTCAGACGAATTAGCCTACAACCCCTGGTCAATGATGGTGCTCCTACACTTTGATTCGAAATGACTAGTCATCATTCTTTTTTAGGATGAAAATACATCCAGCTGACCAGGAGGAAAACTATGTCTGTCTTGAATTCCACTGCTTGCTAGCCATCAGCAACCAAAACAACGTCATTTTAATCTACACACGTCGTCAGACTGTGCTTACCAGGTTGAAAACGATACGTTAGCGGAAACAAAGAGTTTGGGTTGGTGAAATCATTGACTTTGAAAAGGTCTTCACCAGATGGTGTTGACCGAGAAGTAATTTAGAATCTACTTTACCACTATGGAGTACCCTGCTCAAAAGTTTTATCAACCTAAATCTACATTTATATGACAGTGGCAGGAGTCAATTAGTCCCCAAGGGAAACTCAGCGAGGCGTTCAAAGGGATTATATGAGTAAGACAAGGCTGTCTGCCTATTATCACCGATGACATTCTTAATTGTGGTGGACTGGATTATTCACCAAACTGTGAAATGGAAGTGAGAAGACAAGAATACGCTGGACCATCATTAAGAAAACTCTGGATATCGTGCGTGGTTGATTTATGTTTAATGCCACACAAACTCGAAGAATTTCAGGCGAAAACCAACAAACTAGCTGAAGAGGCTGACTGGCAGCGAAGACAGGACTGGAAGCGAACATAGAGAAGATGGAGGTGATGAAGTTAACCAACGAACAGCAACAACCAGCACCAATCGCTATCATAGGACGAAATTCGACAGTGGTTACTTCCTTCACCTATCTAGACAGCCAGCATTGTTTCAACCACAGGTGGAAGGGATGAAAAGGTCAACACCAGCTAGAATCGAGAAGGCGAAATCCACCTTCATCAGTCTGAAATTCTTCTGCACTCACATAGCCAACATAAAGAACAAGATTCAGATTTTCAACAAAAAATGTGAAATCACTCAGTCATTTCTTGTATATAGATCAGGAACTTGGCCAGCGTGTCTATCACGAAAAGGATTTCCAACAGCCTGTGTCAATGGAGTTGAAGATTGAACGATCAATTCATGGTTGTTTGCTCAAAATCAACTTCCCCAATTTTCGCGGAGGCATCAATACGACAGTCATCGTCTCATCGGTCGCTGTTCAGAAAGAAGTCAGGAGACAACCATCAGAAGTAATCTTGTGATTTATTATTGTAATATTTGTTCACAGACCCTAGTAAAAACATTATTTTTATATGTTGGTGTAACAATAAAGAATTCTCGAGTGGCCAATCGGTCTTTTGGTTTTTTCGTCCGTTATTACTAAGCGTTTCTGAAAAACTGCAAGGAACAGCGTGAGCCCGAGCGTGGCAAGAGCTGGGCATTAACGGTTTATGAGACGTGGCTGACAGCCTGTTACAGACTTTTGTAAACCGCTGGCTCCATATAGAAGATCAGATAGTCGGCTGGCCAGATAGAATTAACAACAAGGAATGCTAGGAACAAACCAACAGGAGAGAGCCGATCGCTCAACAAATACTCTGAGGAGAATGGAGATGGATGGGATACACATTGAGGAGACTGTTGAATGATGTCGCATAGCAATCGACTTGGGTATCCAAATGGGAAGCAACGAGTTGAACATGGCTCTGAGAATGACATGGGGGGAGATCATGTGAGAAAGAGATAAAAGCTTTTCGGTAGTCATCGGAGCCACCTAAAGAGGCTTTCAGAGAACATAGCAGAGTGAAAGATGTCCTACTGACACCCTATGTTCCACTCGAAACCTAAGGGATTAATAATAAGAAAGGTTCTCAAGTATTGGTTTTTGTAGGGATTTTGTTTGATTGCATGGAGGATTTCATCATGAGCTGACATCAGTTGGAGAACCATTGGAAAACCAGGCTACTGGGAGTACTGGACAGCTGTTTCGTCCTAGTTGGGGACTCTTCTGCAGTATCAGGTTTTCCAATGGTTCTCTAACTGATGTCAGCTCATGATGAAATCCTCCATGCAATCAAAGAAAGGTTCTGTTGAACAACGAGCTGGTTCCTATGGATTGATAGTCTAGTGAATATCGCTTTGTCTTTGAAAGACTAAATGCTTTAATGCAGGTTATCCACCTGATGAGTTTTCGATTGAATCAATTGTGTGTCTATCACCAGTAGAATTCTCCAAAAGTTCAAACTAGTATTTAGCTCAAATTCTTTTGTTTTAGCTTACAAACCCGAAAGAAAATTAAGCCTTTCTTTATGCGCATTCACTCTCCACTATGAACCAATCAAAAAGCAGAAACAGGGGTAGAAAATGATTACACAAGGTTAGAGAGGTGAAGAAAGTGAGAGAGAGTGACTGGACTGACTGACTGAAAAATATGATTATTTGTTAATCTGTCTATATATGTGTCTGTGTGTATACATTTTGGCTCAATTTACCTACATACCGACGCACGTTCATTTTTCCTCCACCCACCTTCGATAATGATCAGAGAGTGCGTGGTGGTAGTGGTTCTATGTTTGTTCATGTCTTAACAGATTGGATAAGAAAATAGAAAATATGAAACTTGGAAATTAGATACGTATATAAATTCGTGTGCAAGCGCACGCTGTTGCGTGTTTGTGTGTGTGTGTGTGAGTCTATCAAAGTGATTTGATTCGTTGATGGATAGTAAAACAACCTGTTGCCGAGGTTACTGACAGATCTTTCAAAATAATTGCTTCCAAAATAATAAAGTGAGGAAATTTAAAACCATTTCAAAACCAATATGCGCTAGCTAACGTCAACGTTAGCCTCCCTCCCTATCCACCTTGTGTTATCTCTCAATCATCCATATATATATAGATGAAAGAGGCGGGGGAGGGACGCCAACTATCTTTAATTTTCAGTATGACCAGTTCATTTTTGAAAATTATGGTTGAACACTGGCTACTGTATACGATGTGTATACATGCCTTGTGCGTGTGTACGTATGTATGAGTGCGTAGGTGCATCCATGATTGCGTGTATTCACCTGAGCCTATCAAATACACCAAATGGTTGTTAGTGTGAAAAAAACAAACATCCACACATACACACAAAGAAATGAGCATCCACCTGCAACCGCCCCCTTCCAGCTATACATGCATACACACACATACGTTGATACACTCACATAGATTTTCTATGAAATAGAATATTATTTCTGATGTAATCATTTCTTCGATCGTCATAATAAAAAATAATACAATACTTGTGTGTTGGTTGGTACTCATCTTACCAGTTCATCGAATACATACATACTTGGAAGGATCATCTATCAGTCACTAAAATAATATCTCTACAATTTCATCATTAATAAATAATTCACTATCTATCTATCTATGTATCCTTGTATAATTCTTATCAATCAAATAGATTGGATTACAATGCTTCTCATTTAGAGAAATAGAAGTTGTTGTTTTTTATATTTTAAGAAGAGTATTAACTTACTACTTATATAGAAAATAGACAAAAAAGATAAATAAATAATTAAACAAAAGGATATCATAATGCACAAAGTGGTCAACTTTCAGAATACCGCTTATATTAATCAGCCTCACCATCATCATCATCGACAACAACAACCAGAACAGGAGAATGGTGAGTTGAACACCACTCGACCAGCCTACATCAATACACCAAATCTATACACCACTGACAGTCATCGTGTAGATACTACTATCAATGCTACTAACACTCCTATAATTACAACTACCTCTACGAGTACTACTATTATTAATAATAATAATGATAATGATACTTTGGTCAATATCAATTTACCCCTGGAGATTAACACTTCAAATAATGAATTATTTTGTAATAATAATAATAATAATGATAATAAAGCATTTGAGTATACTCCATTCCAGCCGTTGACTACATTGAATTATTTAAATGAATTTACTACTACTACTGCTCCTACAAATCAGTGTGTTTCGTATCCAACGAGCTCTCTTCAACATCACTTACAACAGAATACTTTCAATTATGATTATGGACAATATAGTAATGATAGTTATTATAGTCAACAACAAACTGCATTAACTGCACATATTCATACTACTCACAAGAATGATTATATCAGTAGTAGTTGTAGTAGTAGCAGTTGTGGTGGTGGGGGTGGTGCTGGTGTTGGAGGTGATCCTATGTCTTTGTCTTCTACATTAACTTCAGTGATTAATAATAATAATAATAATATTAATACTAGGAGGACTACAGAAACTCGCACTTCTACAACGCCTATTCCTAGTACTACTTCTACTATTATTACTACTACTAACAATGATAAAAGTAGTGATAACAACAATAATAATAATAGTGGAACAAATAGTTTCTTTTTTAATGAAGTCCAAATTATTTGTATTTGTGAAACACTCCAGCAACGTGGTGATATTGAACGACTGGAGATATTTTTACAAACTTTACCAAAATGGAATACACACATTCACTATCTGGAGTGTATCCAAGTGGCGAAAGCAATTATTGCATTTCATCATGAACAGTATACCCAATTATATCATATTCTTGAAAGTCGTAATTTCTCCCCGGCATATCATACACGCCTGCAAAATTTATGGTTACGTGCACATTATGCTGAAGAAGAAAAATTAAAGGGGAGGACATTAGGTGCTGTAGCTAAATATCGTATTAGGCGTAAATTTCCACTTCCGCATACAATATGGGATGGTGAAGAGACAAGTTATTGTTTTAAAGAGAAATCACGTAATCTCTTAAGAGAATGGTATCATCAAAATGCTTATCCATCACCAAGAGATAAACGTCAACTAGCTGAGATTACAGGCTTGACAATAACACAAGTATCGAATTGGTTTAAAAATCGTAGACAACGTGATCGAGCAACGGATACAACAACAGGGAATGTAACTCCGCCAACAATAACTATGACAACATCACCACCAATAATAACAACAACAACAACAACGGCAACAACAATGATGACGAATTCATCGCCCACGTCAACTATTACACTAATGTCTACAAGTATACCAATGTCTGGAGTACCATCGTCAGCATTAGGTTTGTCAAGTAGAGGAATTATGATGCAAGCAGATATAAATGAATGCGATTCATGTGTTGAATTACATACAGAAAGGAATAGAAGCAATGAAACTGTGGAGAAAATAAACAAGTAAGTTCCATAAGGAAACATTATTATTTTTTCGTAAATGTAGTTATTATATTCATTATGTATTTGTAGGTGTTTGAATTCATTTCAGTGTAGAATTTATCATGAAGCAAACATTAGTAGGAGATCATTGAAAATCAGGGGTTTACTGGAAAGGTGTTTCGTCCTAGTTTGAAACACTTCAGAAATCCATATCTATGACTCTACTTAGGGATAGAATGTGAATACCGTACTATAATTGTCGTATTATTCTCGTTTATTAAACTATTAATAACTAGATGACATTGGTTAATGGTTGCTCAAACATCCCAACTTATAGACTGTTGACTAACTCTTTGTTTTTAAGCGCTATTATACATCAAACGTCATCATTATTATAGAATCGAGGTTATCCACTGGAACTTGTGTGGATGTATAGATGTTGATAGGAAGTTGTAATCTGTAATAATATTCATCCAGAATATGGAATTGAATTAATTGTTCTTATCCACTTTTATTGTAAACACATTATTAAGTATTGTTCTGCTTGAAATTTCACCTTTCGAGAATTGATCTGCTACCAAAGGAAGGCCTCCTCTAGGAGAAGGTGTGTGTCTGTGTGTGACTGGTACCATCCTGTGTTTATTTCGTTGGCTTCTCATCAACTGCTGCTTACAGCCTAAATAAATAATTATTAAGTTTTGTGTACGGAAAAAGTTTTAACATACTTGCAAATTTTACATGGAGTCAGTTGACAGGAAGTTCTGAACTTAGTCCCGAACAGTGATCAGAAAATTACGCTTTTATAGTTTTCACACAGGGATTTCAGGGTTAAACGAAGTAAATGTTGTATGCATACAATGGTAAAGGAGTTACGTAATAAAGATGAGAGGTACGTAAGATGGTGAGTAACTAGTAAATTGGGTGACAGTATACTGAGTTCGACTCAAATCACAGAAACAAGAGAAAAGCAAAATTACACTATATCAAAGGTGGGGTGATTCTAAAGTTAAAGATTTCGTAATCAAATGAAAGGAAGAATAAAAAGACACCCAGGGAAAGACTGATAACTGCTTCTTTCTGAACACACACATACACAAATCAGGTTTCAAACGTTTGATAGGGATTGTTTGGGCAAACTTGAGGAGAATTGACCTCTTTTGCCTAATGATAATCTTCAATGATCTTGTGACGTCCACCTAATGACAGCACTGTTTAAAGCATTTGTTCCCTTGACGACATCGGCTTTTTGATACATGTTCAGAAAATCGAATGTATGTCCTTCTTTCTGTCCTTCCAGTGTAACTGCTCCCACAGATACACGTAAATTTGTATTCACCGTTAGAGTTAACACGAGAAGGGTGTCAGTCCACTTTTGACTGCATCAAAGAGCATGTTGTCCTATAGACGGGAACCAACTTAGCTGCAGGATAGGCTCTGACTAGTGACGTACTCAGTCTTCTGTTGATTATTACTGCAATATTTCCACCTTTAAAATTTAGTTGAATGAAGATAGGGTATTTTCCTACTGTGATTTGATTGACGTTCAAGCCTTCAGATCTTCCCTACTGGTTAGTGAATCTTTGAGGGCGACCGTTGTTTTTTTAAACATCTTTTCAAGAATCAGAAATTCTTCCTCTAATTTCTCTGCAGAGCATATTCTCCTTACTCTATAGAACAGACTGTTAACTAGTGCTCGTATAAAGCTATTTGGACAAAAACTATTAAAATGCAAGTGTGGCCCATTGCATATTGGCTTTCTGTAAATTGACTTCTGGAAAATACCATCTTCCAGGTGTCAATTTCAAGGAATTGGAACTTTCCGTGATTTTAATGTTCCATAGTGAATTCAATATTTGTATGTACTTCGTTGAATAGTCCAAGTAGATAGGAAGCATGACTTTCCGTTTTGCACACTACAAATTTATCATCGGCATATCGAAAATAAGTTGTTTTGTCTATCTCACGCTTTAACTTTGTTCTTTCATGTTTGGATATAAAGATATCTGGGTAGAACAGAGCTAACTGGACAGCCCATAGCTACATCATTTATTTGGTGGTAAAAACTGTGGCCAAACTGGATTTATACATCCATGGTACAACACATTAGCACTATGGGTTTGAATTCCGACTCCGGAAGTAGGAGAAGATCAGACTGTTGACAAATAATCTCAATAGTTTCATTGATTGGAATTATTGTGAACACAAGGAGGTTTCATCAAATGATGCCACAAACCTATTTGAAACGTTCACGTTGTTGTTCTTGCTTTATTCAGATTCATAAAGGGGAATAAATGTATGAAGAATATGTATATGCTTAGCAGTCAATTTACTTTTGTCGTACCACACTTGTGCACTGTGGTAGAATGTCTGTCTGTCTGTTTTCGACATAGAACTTTGCACATATGTGCGGCAGTTCAAGTCGCCGCACTCCATTATGGGTAAATTTTGTTTTGATAATGCCCCATTAGAAATCGCTCAAACTCTAGACTAGCTAATTCATTTGAGATGAAAAATAAACTAAATGACATTCAACTGGAGATTGATAAAACAATGGTTAGTTTTGATATAACTAGTCTTTATACTAACATACAAATCAATATGGCCATAGAAGCAGTTAGAAAAGAGTTAACTGCAGACCCTGAACTCACTTATAGGACGAAACTACCCACCAATATCCCCTATCGTAGCAGATATATTTGTGGACAGCTGGAAAAAATATGGCTCTTAATACATTTAACCCTACTCCGAAAATATGGTGGAGATATGTGGATGACACTTTCACAGTGTTAAAAACAGAACATACCTCTCTAGCTTCTTGACGCAGTCACTAGTGGAGGGAATAAAATTCACATTTGAAGCGGAAAATGAACAAGGAGATTTAGCTATGTTAGATTGTAAAATAAAACGAATAGAAGAAAGCAAACTACACCCTAGTGTTTATAGAAAACCAACGCATTCTAATAGATACTTAGATTTTAATTCATCTGATCCGTTGACTGTTAAGACAAGCTTAGTTAAGTGTCTAACAAACCGATCAGTAGCACTAAGTAACACATTAAAAAGACCTAAATGATGAAATAAAGCAGAGGCGTTGGTGTTAAATAACTAACTATCTTATTAAATTCATTAGGAAGATCAAAAAAGGCCAAAAACAAAATAAAAATAATTGTGAAACTATTAATAATAACATAAATAAGAGAGAATATAAGTCATCTACAGTTATACCATATAAAGAGGGGACACCTGAGACTCTACGTAGGATTCTTAATTAAGCAGGAATTAGGCTGGCATTTAAACCTGCAAACTCACTCAGGGACAAGCTCTGCAAGTTAAAAGACCCAGTTGACCCAATTAGACAAAATAATATAATTTACAAAATACCCTACAATGACTGTGAGGTCAACTACATAGGTCAAACTAGTAGGTCAGGGGTAGTCAGATTGTCAGAACATAAGAATTTAGCTAAGATAAGAATGGTTGACCCCGAGAAGATAAGTAATTTAGAGAGAAGCTCAGCAATAGCACAGCATGCATTAACACACAACCACACAATAGGGTGAGAGAGGGTTAAAATCCCAAGAATTAATCTAGGTAGGTGGAGAGAGAAGTTGATTACTGAATGCTTGTTCATCGAGTCTACACCCAACACATGCAACAGAAATAACTCAATGCAAATACCAGAAATATGGAAATTACTACTACCAATCAAATCAAATGAAAATCAAGTGAAAACACAATGGAACTACATAAATGAAGGTAGAAAGTTGTGTGAGTACCTTGATATGATTATGAGCAATAAATTGTGCTCAGTACGTCATCAGTAAACATTACTGTATAACAAACAGTGTGAGACTTTATCATAACAAAATTTACCCATAATAGAATTACTTTTGTCCTATATGAAACGATTTTGCATTAAGAGTCTCAGAGGACTTCGAGATTAAGGACAGAGAATGAAGTGATTGAATGTATTGACTAATTTACCTACTTGACAAATTGCAACAGACCTAACAGACTGGTTGATCATACTTATGGAATCATACAGACTACAAATGGGGATATGAATACAAAGTGTGGTGAATTTTCCACCTCAAATTGTGTAATTGTGTACAAACAATAACCTTAACCCTAAAGCATTATCAGCTTTCTATGTAAATGACATTTCATCCACCAACTAATTCGGGTAGAATACTTGGGGGTTTGTATAAATTGACAGAGATATGAAAATCTAAGTCATGCAGTTTCGATCTATCTGAAAGTTTAAATTTTCCGAGCTTTAGTTCTACAGACGTACAAGACGTTGTTGTTGTTGTTGTTGTTGGTGGTGGTGGTTGTGGTTGTGGCGTTAAGAATTTCGAAACTTATATAGTATAACTTCCCATTTCTTGTCTCTCTTCTTCTTCGTCCTCCACAGTTCATTTCGGAACAAAAGGAACTCTCCTTATCCTCATCTACTGAAACTTTGACTTTATTATCGTTTATTCTTAATGGACTGAATTAATCGATATCTGTCGGTATGTTACCTCCTCGTACTTACACCGCAATAATACCTTTGATTCCAGTTCAGAAATTACTTGATATATGATTAAATCCTCCATGCAATCAAACAAAATCCCTACAAAACCAATACTTGAAAATTAACCTGTGCTCACTAGTGACTGGCCCTATTCCGGCAGTTAACCTGGGGTTCTAGTTGGGAAGCCGTGACCAGTAGGGTACAGCTGGTCGGGTGTGAGGACAAATACTCGCCGAAGACATTGGCTAGCGGTCGCGCTATGTCGTGAATTGGCAGAAGTTAGAATTCAAGGACCATTGGATCGGGTCCCAGTGGCACAATGGTCTACGAGCTCGCCTTGTAACCAGAAGGTCGTGGGTTCGAATCCCGGTGTGTGCGTACTGATGAACAGTCCCAAACTAGGACGAAACAGCTATCCAGTACTCCCAGGTTTTCCAATGGTTCTTTAACTGATGTCAGCTCATGATGAAATCCTCCATGTAATCAAACAAAATCCCTACAAAAC